TTGCGATTTCATAGGAAATATATTTGATTGAAGTTTTTACATATAGCTGCAATTTTTACACTGATTGGACAATCTATGTGCAAGCGGTTCCTCTGATGAACAAGTACACACTCCCCGCTACAACCATATACAAGGGGATGTTACTTTATTCAATCAGAAAGGAAAAATTTTCGTGGAGAAAATTTAGCTTGCTTGTCCATCGTTGTGGTGTCGTGGTGATTGAATTTCTCTGCCGCTGCAGCCTTTTTCCCTCGTGGAGGTGACTGGCTAGAGAAATTCTTTTTGGGCCCTCTAAAGTCCGGTAGCTCTTTCTAACAGGTCTGAGCTGCTAACGCCAAGGCTTTAGATCCGTGCACGGCCCCTCCGCGCGGGGGCCAGATGGAGTGCCACTTGTGCTCATGAGCTCTGCCGCCCCAGAGTCCGATGGGGGTGAGGATGTAGCTGGGTCTGCAGAGGGTCCCGACAGAGATAAGGCATCAGCTGCTGCGGCATCTTCAGGTGAGTCTCAGCTTGTTCCCGACCAGGGTTTAATTCCTTCTGGCGCTTCAGGGGAGATCGATCTGACCAGTTGGTCTTTGCCTGAGGGCGGTGCTGGTAGTGTCGATGGAAGGACTAATCGACCCGACTCCGAAGACCTCCCTTTGAGCGAGCTGTTCGTTTCGGAAGCCAGATGGTGGAATCAGGTCAGGGACGTGGACACAGGAACCTCGCAGGATCCTTTAGCAGGGAGGACCGTGAATTTCCAGGCGGCCTTCAGAAGTGCTTGCCAGCAGCAGGTCCCTTCCACTATGCTTGACTTGATTCCTCAGCCTTGGGATGAAGGGGTGTTCGGGGTCATTCTTGGCGATAAGGATTTCTTCGTGTTCCCAGCAAAGAGGGCCTGCCAGGTTTTCTTGCCAGGTGAAGAGTCCCGCGAACCTGGGACTTCCGAGGCCGCAGTCAAGAGGATAAGGCATGCAGACAGGGACCTTTCCTTCTCCAAGGTGGTGCGGGCAAGGGCAGTTGTTGACTGGCGTCAACAGAGAACGGCACAGCTTGAGATTGGGCTGAAGCAGTGGCTGAGCTTAGCTCTGCAGTGGGGTCCATGCTTGCTCGTTGCACACTTGGATGAGGGCAAGGGCAATTAGCATCCTGCAAGATTTCTTGAAAGACAGGGGCTCGACCTTTCCTTGCACCGAGAGTGATTTGTATGACTTCTTGAAAGTGATGGAAAAAGAAGGCGCGCCTGCCAGCCGCATCGCTTCCATCATGGAAGCCGTGAACTTCACTAGGCATGTTGTCGGAGTGTCTGAGCTGGCGGGCGCGTGCCTCAGCCGTCGATGCAAAGGAATCTGCACACGCGAAAACTTCGTTGAGCCAAAGCAGGCACCGGCTCTCACTGTGGAACAGCTCTTGATGCTGCACTCTGCACTTGAAGAGCACCGAGACCCGTGGACTCGCGCCTTCGCAACGGCATGCTTGACTTGCGCTTACTGCCGGTGTAGGTGGAGCGACGTGCAGCACACCGAGAGCATCTTGTGGGATCTTGATCTTGAGGGCAATCTCTTTTATATAGAGCTGAGCATCGGAGTGCACAAAACATGTAGGCTGCAGAGCAAGAGGCACAAATTTTTGCATGCAGTTTCTCCTGCGCTCGGACTGCGACCGTACGGGCAGCTGTGGCGAGAGTGCAGGGAGCAGCTGGGGATAGAGCATCATGGCAGGTGTGTGTTCATGCCGGCGCCAGACCAGGCAGGCAGGCCTACGGTGCGTGCATTAGACACCGATGAGGCCACAGCGTGGCTTAGGCTCATTTTGGGCCTCAGTGATGCTGGGACTCAAGTTTCCTCTAAGAGCTTGAAGGCCACTGTCATTTCTTGGGCCGCGAAGCGCGGAGTAGATCCCTTGACATTGCAAAGATTGGGTTATCATGCAGCTGGAGGCATGGACTTAGTCTATAGCAGGGATGCTCAGGCGCCGCTGCTAATTGTGGTGGAGCGCTTGTTAAAGGAGGTCAGAGACGGAGTCTTCAGACCTGATGACACAAGGAGTGGCAGATTGGTGACCAGCGGAGCCCAGCCACTTGGTGTGAATCTTGTGCCCCCACTGAGTGCAGATGTGAGTGCCCCCGCAGCGGCTCCCACGGGGAGCGACGTCGTGGACTGCAAGACATCCGAGGCCCAAGGACCCGCCTTAACAGTCGACAGCGATTCCGATTTGAGTGAAGCTTTGGGTGAGTCGTCTGAAGAGTCTGATGAAGACTTTGGACAGCCGATAGCCGTGGTAGCTCAGGGCCAAGTGGTGCCAGCCGGTTTTGATGTGTGGAGGCATAGCACTTCCCAGGTAGCTCACCTTGCCCCGCAAATGCACTTCAAGAATTTGTTCGCTTGCGGGAGGGCGGTGGGGACCAAACATTTTAAGCTCGAGGAGCATGCAATCGGACCCGCTGATTTTCCGTGTAAATTTTGTTTCCGCAGGTGAGTGAACGCGAGAGTGGGAAAGAGTGGGTCCGAGTGGTCTTGAATTCCCTGCGGCCCATTCCTTCGCGGCCGGGCGCGGTGGTCTTCACTGCGAGGCGCGAGGTGAGCGGCTGGCGGTGATCGAGACGTGTCGCCTGCAGTGAGCCAGTCCGAGTCTTGACATGTCCTGTGCACCGCGTGATCCCACGGCGCATTCCCCTTCTGGGTGAGCGGCCTGTGGTGGTTTGACTGCTGTGGCGGACTGTGCAGATTTGGCTCGTGGTGCACGGCGTCAACGACATGTAGAATAGGGCGTCTCATGAGCAATGAGTTTGATGGGGTACATTACATGATTTGCTGAGGGATGCCGTAAATTGGCTATGAGTTGCAACTCAAGACAGATTGGATTTGTAGTGAGCGTGTGTCACTTAGTGCCTACTTGCTGCTTCTTCGTTTGTGACATGGCGCTAATAACCTCTGAGGCTGCTTTCGCGCAAAGGTGTTCCGAAATCAGCGCTGATGGCAGTGTGCACGCTGCACTAGTTGCACAGGGTTTGAAAAGCTTCAGACAGCTTGCCTTTGCAATCGGCACCCCGAGGGTGGAGCCGACGGCTGAGCAGTACACGTACTTGGCATCACAAGTGTTTGGAGCAAATCCTGCCATAGGGAAGATCGCATTGCTTCGTGATGTGCACTTCGAAGCGACTACGTATGTCATTCAGGCTTTCAAGGAGCAGGCCACTTCAGATGGCACCGAGGCTCAGGTCAAGAGACTTCCCATGCCAGAGCGTACAGCTAGAGCAGCCGATCAGCAGAGGCGTTTGAGTGGGATTGCAATCACCGGTGAGTTGCAGCCGTCATTCCAGTTGGTGGATAAGTGCAATACGATGCTTGAAACAGGAGCCTTAATATGGTTGCCACCATCGGTCTGCAGCAAGCGTGATGCTGAGGTGTCAGTTGGATTAAGCGATAAGTCGCCCGTCGTTCAACTTGAAAAAGATTCTCTTAAGCTCACTGCACCCGCTCAAAAGATGCCAGTGGATGTGGCCAGCCCGCTGACCCTTCAGTGGCCGTGGAGCCGTGCAGCGCATGAGAGTCATCTCGCGTGCCATGAAGCGTGTCGGGTTTGTGGTGTTCGACGACGCCATGATGGAGGCCCTGCTGTTCTTGAAGGACCGAGTGTTGCACGGACCGCCTCGCGTACTTCGCGCCGGTGACCGTCCAACCTACCACCTCTTCACTGATGCTTCTTACGAACGGGACCAGCCGGCAGGTTTGGGAGGCATCCTCTATAGTGATGGGGGTTTGTTGCTTAGATGGCTTTCGGAGCGCGCCGAACCTGACTTGCTTAACAACGTCAACGTTGAGGGCAAAAAGGGCTTGATTTACGAGTTGGAAGCTTGTGCAGCCGTGCAAGGGTTACTGCAGTTGTGCGAAAGCCTGGACGATTGCGACATCATTTGCTACTGCGACAATGACGCTGCGCTGGCAGCGCTCATCAAATGTGCATCGGATGCAACAATCGTTGCAGCCCAGCTCTCGAAACTCAGTTCCTTTGAGGATGCCAAGAGCATCTCATTGTGGTTCGAAAGGGTGGAGTCTGCCGCGAATCCTGCAGATGCTCCTTCCAGGTTTGAGCTTGATGGATTACCCAAGTCCTTCCGAGTTCGATGGGATCCTGTGGAGGAGCTGCTCTTTTGATGGCTCCGATCTTACAGTGGGGATGAGCATCGTTGCCATCTCACAAAGCTTGCAGGATTCTTGCCGGATTAACTTGCTGGATTCTCCGCGATAAGGATTGCGACTATTTCTTGCTGGAAACTTTGTGCGACAAAGATGGCCGTCTCACACGGTCAGCCCGTCTTCAGCCTATGGTAGCGACTACAGGTCTTTTCACTTTTGAATTCAGTAAGCGCCCCTCGCTCTACGAAAAAAGAGGAGTGCGTTGCTTTTGTACATGTCTGGCGAAACTCACCGAAGGTGATGAAACTATTCTGCCTGCAGACTTTTCTTTCTTTCAACTTTGCGACAGGCCGCAGGCCGTGTTTGGATTCGTCTCTGAGTGAACACCTCTTGGCATCATTCCGTGGAGA